TTTAAGTGGGAGAACTTGCACAACTGGTGGCTGACTAAATACTTTTTTGCCCCACTGTAGCATGGCCTGCCCCACATTAGGTGACCCCTACCTTTCTCTTGTCAAGTAGAGCTTGCTTTGCCTGGGTGGCCTTGATCGCCTGATAGACCTTCCTTTTTTTTAGGATGTTTTCTGGCACCAAAGGAATCTTCTTTGGGGGCCTAAAGAAACAGCATGTATTTAGTGTAATTCAGTGTATTTGCATTTAAAGAAAGAAGCTATTTTACACTCCCTGCACACAATCTATTATTTACAGACCTTCATACTTAGCAAGGATCCCTGGGAGTTAGTTTAAATCCCACTGATGCTCATTGGGTGATACAAAGTATGATAAACCTCAAGATCTAAACTCTCATTTGGGAGGGAAGGCAAAAATAGACACCTCTGTCTGTCGAAATTATAGTTAAACGCATCAGGAATTACTTCTTTGACACGATTTTCCACAGGGATTTTACCTACTGCTTTTTTCTCCGAAGAAGCCAGCATTTTATGTCAAACAACTTTATTCTGCTGCTCCTTCTCCTTCCGGCCCGCCACGCAATTAAGCCACCCGTTCTCAATCCACTAAACATTCCTATTCCATCAGAATCCACGCACAGCCTCCAAGAAATCAAGACTTTCCCACAACGACCTTCCTCCACCGATCCAGCGAAAACTCACCCACCGTTCTCGTAAGTGTCTAATTACGAATATACAATCCCACAAATTTATCGGAACACCGCCCTACCGAGAGATGGAAACAGATTATGCTACGTATCAAAACTCACTCAAGCTCCGCCATGGTTTCTTCCGCAGCACCCTCGCTAACGGCACCGCGCAGGCGCAAACTGGCGGCCGCAAAATTGAAGGAAATGATTCGCGTTTGAGCCGTAAAGCGTCTCTTTTATGAAACGTCTGCTTCGTAAGGAACGTTAGGTCGGTCCTTTTATGGTTTTTGCTTCCCCTTAAAAGATGTAATCCAGTCCATAGTTGTTGTTTTTTTAAAGAACTTGTATCGTTGGCTGGCAAGAACGGAGAGGAACTTTTCTGAATAGCTTTGAAAGCTCGGAGGAGGAAACAGAAAGAAATTGGGTTTCCCACTGAAACCCGCTGAGAAGTCGTAAGCCTACCAGATCTGGGTTACACAAATCTCGGTGATCCCCTTCGACGATCCGGAAGATCTAGGGAGGTGTCAGATTAGATAAACCGAGAAATTCAAGAGTTTTATCCTGGAATCAAGCAACAAGGTCCACTCAGAATTAAGAGATGGAGAAAATGTAAGACCATCTAGAATTTCTAGTGCAGGTCTTATTTCACTTTTTTTGTTTTGTTTTTAAGGTTTCCAGCACTTAGAAAATGAGATATCAGTGCCGAGATAGCCATGACTGAGTAGGAGTGATTTATGCCTGCCCTGCAATATTAGTACTGTACATCACAAGGAGATGGCAACTTATTTACAAACAAATGGCTCACTCGAAACTTAAATTGCCTGCTCAGATAAGGCATGTGCTTAGTTGCCTCCTACACCATTTGTTTCATTGCAAATCCTGTGTTTCATTTCTTAAAGGAGCCAAATATGTTTTCTTTTAATATGAAAAATGAATGAAGATACAGTATAAGAAACAATAACTTATTCTTTTTCTGCAGAGACAGGACATTCACAACTGCTTAAAATTCTAGAGTTTTTTTTTCTAGTTTCTAGTTTTTTCTATTTAGCAGTGTTTTCAGAGAAGGGCATGGGGGGGGGGGGAAGACTTCTAAAATCCAAAGGATAGGTCTCTCTGATAAAATATGTAACACAAACATACACTTGTGAGTGGAGATCTTTTGTTATTTCTTGTCTTTTTTAAGTCAAAAGGGTTTTTCCCCACAGCAGCCTTAAGTTGCTTGATTCCTATAAGTAAATTATCTGAAAATGAAGCTGGCTTAAGAAAACCCTTTCCAGATTTCAGCCTCTTTGCCCACTTTGGGCAAGGTGATAGCCTGGCACTTTGTCCCAACTGCTTATCCAAACCTGATTGATGGATTCCCCTGCTTCTTTACTCTTCCCACCCTTGCCAGGAAAGCAAGGATCAATCCCTTTCCTTTCCACGGGTTGGTCTTTGAGGAAACACGGGTGTCCACTGATGGCCTTTTGTATGGCCTTTCCCCTGATACTTGACATCTTCCTGTCTGGAGTGTCCACTGGTAAACTTGTATTTCTAAGGAAATAAAAGAAAACACCACATTTTTATCATTATTTAATGTCACTTGGGCTAGAAGGGGAAAGTGGCAGCACTCTTGTCAATTTCACCTGCTTTAAAAAGAAAAAGAAAAAACTTTTACTTTTTCATGTTTCTGTTTCATGAACTTATAGTAAAAAGCAAAGTACCTTTCGCCATCCTACCAGTGAACTTTTAAACAACCACAGTTTTCATCAATCTACTGGTGAAATGAGGAGGAACCAAAAAACCCAAAACAAAACAGGTTAACCATTCAAGGTCCTTTCAGAAGATAGCAGGCAGCCCCACAGCCCAGGACAAATGGCCATGGACTAGTGAGCAGAGGAGAGGGGCATTCTGCCCTTGGCACAGTAGCCAGGTAGAGTAGAAACATATGTCTACTACTGTACAGTGAAATGTGCTATAGCCAACTCAGATAGCACTACTTGTGTTGGTACAAGTTGGAAAAAGCTACTTTTGATGTGCAAAAATATAGTAAAAATAGAGGTTGCTTTCCTAGTGAGCTGGATAGTATAGAGGACAACATTGTGTGTTTCTGCCCTCAAGAAATGGTTAGTGACTATAAGTCAAACTGGAACAACTTGGTAGTGGAAATCATCCTAAGACTGATCTACTGTTACATAAGTGTAACAATCCTAAACAATTACAGGTAGACCTCACTTAAGGACTGCCCTGTTTAGAAACCATTCGAAGTTACAACGGTGCTGAAGAAGTAACTTTATGACCAGTCCTCGTATTTATAACCATCACACCATCCTGCAGTCATGTGATTGCCATTTGCAAGCTTCATGACTGGCTTCCAACAAGTAGAGTCAATGGAGAAGCCAGCGATAAAATCTCAAGTCACAGTCACATGATACCTTGCTTAACGACCCACGATGATTTGCTTAACAACCATAGTGGAAGTGAGGTTATATGCCTGTTGTGGTCACATGATGTTTTGCTTAGTGACAGCATAATGCCTCCATAGAATGGGACTTACTTTTGAGTAAGCATACATAGGCTTGCACACCAAATCTTCAGTTCCACAGACAATAGCCACTCTAAAATTGTACAGTACAGTTAAAATTGTCCTTTGTAAAGGAATAAAAATTAAACAAGTCATTATTCAGCTATGCTGTTGTTGTCAACGCATATAACTTTTAATGATCTTTGTCTTTTTTAATTATTCCAGGAGCATTTCCAGACAGCTTAATAATAACTGAGAACCAGTGAGTTTAGGCTTGATGTAATCTGTGTAATGATTGTTAAATTATTCATTGGAGCTCTAAGAACAGATTAACACATGCACGTGCACACACATCCCACGTTGTCAGTGGAGGTGGAGCAAAGAATGAAAAGCATAATTGCCTTACAAGCTGTACAGAAGCTCCAGGTGCTTCTTTTTCAGTTTCATAAATCTTGTACAACAATTGTCTCCATTCAGTGTTCCTAAATAGTTGCATTTCAGAGTTAAAACATCTGCAATAAATTAAAAAAAAAACATACAGAGTGTGGGGAACAAACTGGAAAACCTGGAAATCTTAATGCAAGAACGCTATTATGAAACCTGGTGGGGTGAAACTCATTTGTAGAAGGCAAGGATTGAACAGTGTTGCTTATTTGAAGAGAATAGGCCAGAAAAAAATGGGAAGATTAACGGGCACAGGTGGAAACGTGCAGAAAATGCACATATTGAGATCTTCCTAGGATTCTTTTGTCTAGTTTGCTGTTTTTCCCGCACCCCTTTTCCCATCTTCCAAGTTAAAATGTGATAGTGTGATAGATAGATAGATAGATAGATAGATAGATAGATAGATAGATAGATAGATAGATAGGGCAGAGACAGCACCATACCCTGCCATGGCTTGAAACTAGCTAGGTTCTGTAGAATGGGTTAACTGAAACGGATGACCTTCGGAGAAACTCTTACTTCAAGGGGGAGTGGGTAGTAGCTGAAACTGACAAATACAGGGAAACTAACAAGTAACAAAAAACTACTTTACAGGTAGTCCTCAACTTATGACCATTCGCTAAGCCACCATTCAAAGTTACGATGGCACTGAACGAAGGGACTTACAACCAGTCACCAAAGTTACAGCCATTGCAGTGACCCTGCAGTCAACCGCAGGGGCGCTTCAATTACCCCCACCAGCCCATCTCCCCCCCCGCATCTATGCCCTTTTGCCTTCCTGTACTCCACAGCCCCTGTCACCTTTGCTGTCTTTTTGCTCCCACTGCTGACCAAGCATGTCCAGCCTGGCCCTTCGCGAAGCAGCTGCTGGCTTTCTTCCCAAGGTCGATGTGATGGAATGTGAGGGTGACCTTGGAAGACGGGGAAGAGATGCCGCCTAGGGAACGATCAGATAAAAGAGAAAGGAGTCTGCAACAGAGTAACTACCAGAAAAAGAAACTTGGGAAGGGCCCGCCCTAACTACTAGGGAGGGCAGGAGATTTGTACTTTCAGACTTGCAAGATTCTGTTAATGCAGCCTTACAATAAAGTAGAACTAGCTCATCTAGTTGTGTTTCCTGTCTGGTTTACCTGGCCGAGTGGCAGAGGCCTTCTGGGGCTCTCCAGCTTCATGCCGTCCTTTTAGGGCTTCCTGGGAAACTGTAGCTTTGCACCGTGCTGCTGGGGCTGGCTGGAGTGGGCTGGAGTGGCTGACATTTCCAGGGACAGCTGCAGCTTCATGCTGTACTGCAGCTCAGGCTTCTTGCAACCCCAGAGCCACAGTGCACCAAGAAGCCCGAGCCACAGCGTGGCAAGCAGCCCCAGAGCTGTGCAGTGCTGGGCCTGCTTGCTGCCCCACAACGCAGGATGCAGGGCAGCCAAAAGGGCAGAAATGGGGGGAGATAGGTGGATGGGGGAGCTGAAGAGGAGGCAGTTCCTTATCTTACCGTGGCTCAGAGCTGGGAGGGACCAAGCCCAGATTGGCTTGGATTGGGGTGAGTCCTTGGCTAACAACTGGTGGAATTCAGTTAACAACGGCAACGAGGAGTGCCAGGATTGCCATCCCTAAGTGATGCGATCATGTGATGTCACGCTTTACGACTGCATTGCTTAGTGACAGAAATGCTGGTCCCAATTACCCTCGTAAGTCAAGGACTACCTGTAATGTCACATGTTATTTTCAGAACACTGCAGTGAGGAAAAATAGGTACGTTTCATCTAAAGGATAAGATCTTCATTTTCAGAACAGTGTTAATACACAGTTTTGCAAATATTTCCTCTCTTCTCCTCCAAATAAAATAGTGGAAGACTTTTCCTCCCCTCTTCCTGGTTGGAAGTCAGGTGAGAAGTTGATTTCAAAACTGTATTTTACTTGTAGGCTGGAGGCAAGAAAAGGACAATATCTTGCAAACAAGGAGAGACTTTGGAGTCGTCACAGCATGATAATCTTGTGGTAAACTGCAAATGGGGACAGGACCTGTGAGGGGACAGGACCTGAGAAACTAGTTGGATTCAGATCCAGAGTGGTCTGATCTACACATAACATTAAGCCATAATGAATGAGTTCACATATCAAACTAAGCCGAAAACAAATCTGTTATGCTTAATATAATATATAAACTCAGTGACTGTTCTCATGGATTTAAATTGGGATTTGAATTCTAACATAGTGGAATAGATTGCTGAATGTGGTAGGTATCC